AGAAAATTGTTTTCTTATAGGTTTTGTTTGGCGATCAGCGGATAGCGGATAGCAGATTATATTAGCTGATTTGACTAGCGGATTGCATTAGCGGTTTTTAAATAAGTGTTTGGTAAATAGCTGAAAGCTTATAGTTGTTTGACATTGCAAATTACCAATAAAGACATTTTATTATTTAGGGTGTATTCTTTTAATAATAATATATTAAAATATTTAATATTTTTTAGTTGGTAATTTATAAATATATATTTTTTTTAAAAAAAAAAATTACTAACAATTGATTAAGAAGTTATGAATTTTACATTTTTCTAGATAAATTAATCATATGGATGACATATTATTATTTGTTAGCATCATAAACCAATGTAGATTGTAAAATAAATAATACAAATTAAAAAGTTCTAAATTAAAATTGTAGATTGTGAATCCTCTATCCCCAAAAAGCTCCTCTAATGAGCTTTTTCTAAATTAGAGTTTTGGACCTAAAAAACTTATCAAATAAGCTATTTACCAAACAAGCTCAATAGTGGATTTGACGGGTCAAACCTCTCAATTAAGTCCGATCCACTAATTTATCCTCAATCCGCTATTTTCCAAACGGGGCCATAATCTTTTGGAAATTTTTTCTTCATCATAAATATACGCTAAAAAAATTCCTCTAAAATCCCCACTCCACAATTCAATTTTCTCTTTAGTCCTCAACACATTTAATTTTCTTATGCACTTCTTACTACATCTTTCTCTTTCCTCTCAACTCTCCATATAAATACTAATACTATTATTATTAATTTATTTTATTAATTGTAAAGAATAACAAATTGAAAAAGATATCTTGAATGAGTTCACATGAGAATGGTACTTAGTAAAAGAAATAAGAATAAATCTCTACCACGAAATATGTTTGATCGGACAAACACATGAGGCATCAAATTATTAACTTGAGGGGTATTTCAGACATTTAGTATATAGGGCATAGGATCACAAACTCTTCGTTCACGTATTGTGTGTGACTATCACTCGCTAGATTGAACTTCCATTCACAGGCCTCTTAACATCACCTTCAATGTCGAGATCAAAACGACGAAGGAGAGGATCTCGACGAGGACGAGTCCCTCTATTTCGAGATCCAGCCCGACGAGTGAGCGAGAGCTCCGAGCCACCATTGTTGGGTCACTTTTGTGGTTGAGATCCAAGCCGAAGACGGCGGGTATAACGCCCCACTTTGATTTTTAATAAAATCGGACTTTCAGAAAAATCTATAAAATATTTTCGAAATTCATTTTTCGAAATCAACTTAAACATGGGAATTACTTAACATTTACATAGTCCAAGTCATGTATGGACTTACGGGGATTCATTACCCGGTTTCTCACATGGTTTCATTAACCGATAACTTAACACATCACATGATATTCAACAATCACATAACCGATAATATCCAAACCACATATTTCAAACATGTCTAAAAACCAACACAAGGTTTATAAAGACCAAATAACATGAGGAAGCAGAATAACTAATAATATGTGACCGACCACTCGTCCCCTCCTCGTCATGCCCGCAACCTGTCTAACCTGCATCTGCGAAGAAACAGGTGGGGGTGAGCACAAATGAAATCTGTGGTGCTCACCACTATGCACGTAAATAACAACATATGGTATGGTCGCAGTATGAACATAAATCAATAAACATGTCACATCTCCTTATCATAACACACCAATTCACCTTACTCATGTGTACACACCTATCATTAGCTACAGCTAGTCTTTTTGAAGGCACCGCCATGTGTCTTACATTGTCAACTAGACAGTAGGAGTACATGTCGAAGACATCGCCATGTGTCTTACATCGACATACATATCGAAAGCATCGTCATGTGACTTACAATGATATGGCCTTTCATTAGGACTTAGGGAGAATGCCTATTATTAGACACCGTCGAAGGACATACAACTCATATCGACGGGGACAACCGTACCAACGGTCGTAATAGCTCACATCGATAGGCTACGTGGTTCACACGCATACATTGATCATACCAATTTGCAACAAAAACACAAAACAACTTAAGGCATAGCAATTTTAGAATAACAAACCCACCTAGTTACCGAAGTAGAGAAATCACACACAAAGCAGGTACGTGAGTCGAGGGTTCGACTCCTCAAGCACCTACATAACCATGACAGTCCTATCAATGACTATACCAACACTTTCGACAACATACAATAACATTCACTTAGTTCAACACAACTCATATAAGTTAAATAAGCATGCATTTAACGAGTAAATTCCATTTTCGAAAGTACGACATAAGTTTTCAAAACTTAACCCGCGCATCGATTTTAAAATAAACATAAATTGCAGCACATATGTCATATAAGCATGATTCCAGTTGCATATTAATCCTAAGACATACAGCTACAACTTTTGTGAAGACATCGACAACATATAAGGTCATTTACAAGGAAATAATTCAACAAATATTTATATCCGAGTTGCAGTCAGAAATCTGACTGCAGGTACGTGAGTCGAGGGTTCGACTCCTCAAGCACCTACATAACCATGATAGTTCTATCAATCACTATACCAACACTTTAGAAACATACAATAATGTTCACTTAGTTCAATTCAGCTCATATAAGTTATATAAGCATGCATTTAACGAGTAAATTCTATTTTAAAAAATACGACATAAGTTTTCAAAACTTAACCCGTGCAACGATTTTACAATAAACATAACTTGCAGCACATATGCCATATAAACATGATCCCAGTTGCATATGAATCCTAAGACATGCAGCTACAACTTTTGTGAAGACATCGACAACATATAAGGTCATTTACAAGGAGATAATTCAACAAACATTTATAACCGAGTTGCAGTTAGAAATCTAAAATTTCACACATACAGGGCTTCAGTAATTTCCATATAAATCATGCTACGGGCCTGAAATGACATGATTCGAAAATTAACACATAATCCTACATATTTCATGAAGACTACTTTCACATATGAGCACGTTCAGACACTAAAAACAGACCAAATATTTAATATAAACATGTTGTCGGGTTCACAAAAAAACTGCTTTCACAATTATTTTGAAAAAATCATATGTCTCTCAATTTAAATTGGATTTACAAAATTCTAAAGCACAATGAAAGCTAACAGGATGGATTACATTTCATATGAAGAACACAACTTCAAAAAACGAGTTATTGACAATCATTTTAGAGGCACAACAGAGACCGATCAAACGAGATAAATTATGCAATATTCATGTTGTACGATTATCCCCAAAAATAGCATATAATGAGCACAATTACGACTTCAAATCAATAATAAACAAGGGAAGGGGTTCACAGTTAACATGCTCGATTACTACATCACATTAATCAACCATAAATAACATCATAAACACGTACATGTCACCCTAACATGAAAATAGGCCATGAATCACATCGAATCACTTAAACACATACTAAAAGGAAGGGTTTCAAGCCGTCATGTATCATTCTCAGGAACAACACACGAAAACGAACGAAGGAGGGGCTGAACGGACAATTTAATGCTCACTCCACGGGAAACGAGACTACTACTGCTCGATGCTAATGTTTGAGGACCCTAGCTGCTTGACGAAAGCCTCGAACGGCTGCCGCTATTCTCGCACGGGCAAAAAAGGGCTACCACTGCTGTTCGGGACTGCAAATGAAGGACGACGGAGGTGCTGTTGCTCGTTGACCAAAGGTCCGGTCTGCTCGAGTGAACTCCTAGCATGTGGGTCGTTCGACGATGGGTTAAAACGGTCAATTCTTGCTGCCCACTGAACGAAGTCGCCGACGGTGCCTGTGGACGGGAAGCCGTGAACGACGACGGCCACCGCTCGCTGAAAAGGAGCCGGCGGGGTACTATTGCAGAACTACGTAAACGACTTGAGAAGAACCTCGCCGTCTACTGCTACTGTTTGTTGTTGTCGGCGGCTGGTGGCTGAAACGGGCGCGACTGTTGTGGCAAAAATTGCGGTTCGCTCCCAATAACTTTTCGTAACAAGGGATTGAACATAGACGAACAAGTCGAGCATACAACACATGCCAATTATCTCAATCCCAGTAAATTTTTGTAACAAGGGATGGGTCATCGACAAGCACGTATTTCATTCCAAAACCTATAGACTATTCATTACGAAAAATAATCTACCTCATGTGAGCCTAGGTCTACGACTTCTCCCCTTTCGGTTCTAAAAGTCTCTAATTAAATAAGAAGAGAATTAATCGACTCATTATATAGAATGACAAAACCTAACTTGATTAATCAACATTCAATTGTTCCCAATTGCATGATCGAAGTGTCACTCTACGATTATATCAATCAATCAAAAAAGATTTTATCAATTCGAATAAAATCCACTCTCATAAGAACGAACAATTCAAGCCCGACAAATACACGTTAAACAAGAATAATTATCCCCTATCACTAGCAATCAGAATCAACTACATAACATGAATTCAACAAATTCAAGCAATTCGCCCCACATAATCATTCACATGAATTAAATAAGATGAAAGACTTACAATCAGTTCAATCCAAGAGTTGAGTCCAAATTACAAACTTATTCCTTGAATGTTAAGAGGAAGAAGAAGAAAAATGGATGAGAAAGATGAAAAGGAAAGGAAAAACTAAGAAGAAGAAGAAGAAGAAGAGAGTAAGAGAAAAGAGTTTTTGTTCGTGTTTACTCGCCCTGGGTTCGTCCCCAGGAGGGTGAGAATTCTCCCATCGTCTAAGAATACTGCCGTTTTAAAAAGCTAGAATCGCGCCCTCCGCGGCCGCAGAGATGCCCGCAGGCCGCGAATTGCTCTGTGGCCGCGGGATTTCTTGCGCTAAAGTTTGGGACGCTGGCAACTTTTTGTTCGCCGCAACCGCGGTGAAGAAGAGGTCGCGGCCACGAAGATAAAATTTGGTGCGCGCAGCTTTCCGTTTCGGCCTCGTTTGAACTCGGAATTGAGTGTCGTTTTTTTCTACGCATTGCCAACGAACTCTTCTAGTCAATTATGCATTCCCATCAATTATATTCCTGAAATCCTAATCCCCCAATGCTTATGACTTCACACCAAAAATTTGTTTCACGCGACTTCGCGTTTTGGGCTCGTCCGACCTCGGAATTGAGTTTCGCTTCTTCCTATATGTTGCCCACGAACCCGTCTACACAACCATGATTTCCTGGTCAATTTTCGGGCTAAATCTATTCTTTACGGGTATTTTAACTTTCACACCAAAAACGAAAAAAAAACCGAAAAAACACACGAGAAAGACAAGAAAGACCAAAATAGAGCAATCCACGAAATAAACTACAAAACGAACTAAAAATCAACTAAAGACCTAATATGGGGGTAAAAGAAAGGCAAAATAATATGGAAAAATGCAACAAAAATGGGACAAACAACTCTCCCCCACACTTAAACCTTTGTTCGTCCCGAACCAAAAGAAATAAAAATAAGACAAAACGAGCATGGATGCGGTTTCAAATAAGAAAAGTTCCAAAATGTCCAATTCAATCAAGTCGAATTTCAACGATCATATGACCATATGCCTCAAATATTAAATTGGCCTTGAAATGACAAACTCTCAAAACATACATTATCATATATGCCTCACTCATTTTCTTACATGAATACATGATAGTTTCGTTCAGATTGGTCAATATTCGAGTTTCAACATATACTTGCCAACAGTCTAAATTACTCGAACACAATCAAAGCTCAAAACTTGCGAATCAAGAGGACTTCACAGGTTGTAATGTGGACTTAAGGTAAGGATATATTGTAACACCCCGAGTTTTATTAATAAAGGAAAATACTAGCTTTTAATTTTAAGCTAGCCTTTGTTAATGAATAATCATGTTCATGTTCAAGTTCAGGTTAATCAGCTAGTTATGTTCCAAGTTCGACTATTAGTCGATATATTATTCGGTTTAATTATT